GTAGTATTCCATTGTGTGGATATACCACAGCTTCTCTATCCATTCGTTTGTTGATGGGCCCTTAGGCTGCTTCCAACTCTTTGCTATTGTAAACAAAGCTGCAGTAAACATGGGTGTGCATATATCTGCTTGGATGGCAGACATGGTCTCTCTGGGGTATATTCCCAGTAATGGGATTGCTGGGTCAAATGGTAGAAATGAACACATTTTTAAAGAAAAACTCACCCACTACTAAACAGTTCTAATTCATATGTGATATGACTTTTAAATTCTTGAACTGCTGCTTCCATGGGTGTTGAATTTGAATCCAAGTAAAATGATTGACAACTTCATTCTTCTCTTCATTTATCATGATCTTGTTCATTGGTCCACTTGTGAGGGCTTTTGTTTTATGTTGTAGCTGTAGTCTTTGAGGGTCTTTAATATATGCTTCGAGTCATCTTCATTATAATTTTTTCTAGGTGCTCTCAGTTCAAAGAGCTAGGATATAAAAATTGTTTATAACCAACAAGGTGACAGCTTGAGAGATGAAACAGGCTAGTCTCATAATGATTATTGTTGTTATTGTTATGTGCTGTCGAGTCACTTGAGACTATGTACAGTAGCCCTGAAACCTGTTCTATCTTGTGTCAACCTTATTGTCTCTTGACATCTACAGTCTTTACCCTCATTAAGATTACAGTCTTTAAAACCCAGTGGGACAGTCCTGCTCTTCTGCAATGGCTGTTATAAGTCAGAATTGGCTCAATAGCAGTGAATTTTTATATGTATATTTAACACAAACACATACATGCATATATGTGTGCATTTAGGAGAAGCTATTCCTTGGAAAAAGTTCTTATACTTGGAAGGGTGAAAAGGAGGAAGACCCCCCAATGAGATGGATTGACACAGTGACAGCAGCAGTGGGCTCAAGTGTATCAGAGATGGTGAAGATAGGACAGGGTATGACAGGATTCAGACCTGTTGTTCATAAGGTTGCTGTGAGTCATATTTGACTCGACAGCACCTTAACAACAACAACAGCATGTCTGTGTCTGTCTGTCTTGCTGTCATCCTTAACTTAGCCTAATACTTGTAATTATAAGCTGAAGTCAGAGAGCTCATGCTAGTCTTCTCCTTTCCTTATTTGTAACTTACAGTTCCAACAGTGAGAAGATTAGCTCTTCTTGCCCACAGTATGTTTACTCCCTTAATTTTGTGAACACATAAATCCAGACTTGTTAACCATGCCTTTGTGGCCATTTATCATCTATACTGGAATACGTTTAAGAGAGGGAAAATTGTTGTTGTTGTTATTGCTGTTATGTGCCATCAAGTCGCCTGTGACTCACAGCAGCGCTATGTACAACCCTAAAAGCCCTAAACCCTGCTCTATCCTGTGACAATATCACTGTCTCTGACACACCCACCCCCATTACCCCAGTTACTCAATCAGTCCATCTCATCGAGACTCTTCCTCTCCTGCGCTGTCCTCCACCCTCCCAAGCATGACGTCCTTCTTCAAGGTCCTCTTCATGTCCTTGCAACATGTCCAAAGTACGTCAGACAAAGCTTCAGAATCCTTGCCTCCAAGGAGCAGCCTGGCTTTACCCTTTCCAGGACAAACCTGTTTGTTTTCTTATCAGTCCATGGTATATTCAATACTCTTCTCCAGCACCACAGCTCAAAGGCATCAATTCTTCTTCCATCATCCCTAGTCATTGTCCAACTCTCTGATGTATAGCAAGTGATTGCAAAGACCATGGCCTGTATCATGCACACATTAGTCTCTAGACTGACATAGTTGTTCTTCAGCATTTTAGAGAGGTCTCTAACCACAGACTTTCCCATCACAGTTCGTCTTTTAATTTCCTGGCTGCTGGTGCTAAGAGTGTTGACTGTTAAGCCAAGCAAACTAAAGCTGTGAATGAGCTTCTTTGGGATAATAGGGCAGTATGTTTCCCTACATATATTACATAGGATAAGGGAGATCTGGTGCTCTAGAAGGGAGCAGTGGTGGCTTATTGGTAAAGATTTGTACTGCCAAACCAGAGGCACATAGTTCAAATCCACCCTCTGCTCTGTGAGAGAAAAATGGTCAGTCTGTTCTTGTGTGATGTGGTGCTTCTGAAAACCTGCCATAGGATCAGCTATGAGTCAGTTCTGACTTGATGGCAAACAACAACAAAGGTTATTTTTGCCCTTTCTTTCTTTTAGTTCCATAACTTTCCTAGAAATCATTCTTGAAACTATATTGTATTAAAGAATGTTAAAAATGGTGAATGGTGAGTTGTTTGAATGCTTAATAGAAAACACTTTCTTTAATCATAATAGACTGCTTTGATTATTATATTTAGTTCTATTAAAATTCCTTTTCTTCAGTGCTAGTTAGAAGGGAGCGCTGCTATTCTTCTGTTTGGTTTGGAGCGCTCCTGTGTGTTAGAACTGGAATTTCTCAGATTTCCCCTGAGACTATTTTACTGCATTTAGAGCTTTAGAACTGCCAAGTCTTAAAAAGGAATGTTAGCCAAAGAAATACTTGAGGTACTTGTCTGCTGGTTAATAACATTTCCCTATTCAGGTGGATACACGTCTGCAGAATGGATTTGCTCCTGGGATGAAACTGGAGGTGGCTGTGAAGGCAGATTCTGAAACCTACTGGGTCGCCACTATCATTACTGCCTGTGAGCAGCTGCTCCTTCTCCGTTACGATGGCTATGGGGAGGACCGGAGAGCAGACTTTTGGTGTGACATCAGGAAGACGGATCTCTACCCCATCGGGTGGTGTGAACAGAATAAGAAGACCCTTGCAGCCCCAGAAGGTTATAAAATACAATATTTCCTATCAAGATGTGATGGTGATAATTGCTATAGGAAAATTTTTGCCTTCCATTATCTTGAGATTTTTTTTTCCCTTCACCCATGCATTTAACTGTTTATCTTGACAATTTAAATGAAAATATTTATCAAAACTAAATACATGTTTCCCTCCTTGTTAAAGTTGTTTTCTGGGCTCTGGAAAGCCTCAGGTTTATCCTGGGGAGCACCAGTTGCCTGTCATTCTGTAAGATTTTGTGAGGCTTTTTTGAGTTCGAGAATCTTAAGGCTGGTTGTCATTAAGCACATTGGGGCCAGATGGCTGTGCTGTCGATTCTGTTTCTTTTTTTATCACCTTCCCTCTTTTCCCTCCCTAACAGTCTAAGTCCTGTGAACTCTTCCAGTGAATTAACTGAAGCCCTTCTTGCAAAGAGCCTACTGACAGAGTAAGGGAAATGAGGAAGGAGGCTCACATGAGGGAAAAAGAAACACTTAAAATCTAAGAAAACAACAGCACTTAAATGTTTTTCTTTTAACTTCTTATTTTGACATAATTTCCGATACGCAGAAATTGCAAGGACAGCATAAAAAACTAGAGACTGTCTGGATGTTAATGTTTTACCATATTTGCTTTGTATTTTTCTCTCTCTCTGCACACGTGTTTGGTTTTTCCCCCCCCCTAAACCATTTCGGAGAAGATATTTTAGACCTTAGAGGCCGCACAGTCCCTGTTGCAGCACCACAGTTCTTGGCTTTGTAATATGAAAACAGCCACCAATAACATATCAACAGTATGGCCATGGCTATGGTGGCCTAGTGTTAAGGAACTGCACTGTGATGACCCAGCTATTCCACTGCTTGGAATATACCCCAAGATAATGAGATCTGAGGCTCAAATGGAGACTTGTACACCAAAGTTCATAGCAGTGTTATTCACCATTGCCAAGAACATGGAAGCAGCCCAGATTTCCAAACACAATCGAATGGATTGGGAAATTATGATACAGTCACACAATGGAATACTACACAGCATTCAGGAGAAATGATTTTGTAAATTACTACCTAACTTGGGAAGGACTAGAGAGCATTAGGCTGAGTGAACTAACTCAGTCACATAAGGACAAACACTCGAGAAAACATTATTGTAGAATAAGTATGAGGATCCAAGGGGGCAGAGAGTGAGATTAATCACGGGGTCACACAATTTGATGGATGGGGAGGAGTGAGGGAAATGGGAAGGATCTGGTGTGAAAAAAAATTCATTCAAATTTTGTAAATAAACTAGTAAACTAGTAAATAAACTAATAAAAAATAATGAAGATCCAAAATCTCTGTAAATGTTCAAAAAAATAATGAAGATCCAAAAAAAAAAAAAAAAAGGAACTGCACTGTGAACCCAAAGCAAAGCAGTTCAAATCCACAAGCTGCTTTATGGGGGAAAGTAGGCAGTCCCTGCCTATGTGGTTTACAACCTCTGACAACTTGAAGGACTGTGGTCTAAGCTTTATTTACAAAAACACCTCTGAGTTTAGCTAGCCATTGAAACAGATTGGCTGTAAGGTGACAGTTTTCTAAATGAGGGTACTTTGGGATTAATTAATTTTTTCCTACTTTTGTGTATGTTTGAAAAATTTCATATTGAAAACTAAAATAGATACATTTGGGGTAAAATTATAGGAACAGGAAATGGGCCTGTTTTGCTTTGTGTACAACTCTTAGTAACTGATGAGAGGGAAGTTCTGTTTTTTGATAAAGAATTTTCATAATTTATATTTTCAAGCTTTTAAAGTTTTTCAAAGGGAAGAAATATATTGAAATTCTTAAATTTTAACATAATAAATGTACCCCCAAACCATTTCCACTGGATCAAGGGGCAGTTCAGTGTCTCTGTGCTGTGTGATGGGCAGCATGAGTGATAGTCCGTTTATCCTCTCGTGCAGGCATCAGAGACAAAGTGTCTGACTGGGATGAGTTTCTGCGGCAGACCCTGTTGGGAGCGTGCAGTCCTCCTGTCCCGCTGCTAGAGGGCGTGAGTATTACTGCATACACAGCCAATATGGGAAACCTCGCTAGTCCTCAGTGATAGTTCCCATCCAAGGAATCTAAAAATAGGTTGCTTATTTACTACTCCTTAGCAAATAAGCATTATTACTAGAGATCTAGGGAGCACTGGTGGCCTAGTGGTAAGGAGTTATACTCAAGCCAAAGATTGAGTTATTGTTGTTGATTTCCATCAAGTCAAGCACAACTTATAGCAACACTCTGAACAAAAGGCCTGAAGCCTTTCTATAATCATCGTCATTTATCAAAGTTCATAGAGTTTCCAGAGGCATGTTGTTTAGGAAGTGGATGCCACTCCTGCTTCCAAGCCATGGATACAGGGTTCAAATACACTAGCAGCTCCACTGGAGAAAGATGGTGGTTCTGTGCAATTAACTGCCTCTTAAAATCTGCTGGAGAGTCAGCTGTGGGCCAGTTCCGATTCCACAGTACGCAAGAACAACAAGATAGAGATAATAGGCGTAGGTATTGAGAGACTTTTGCTTTATTAGGTAAACTAACCCATTCATGACCTGTGAGATACACAGTGCCCACCTGTGTTTCCCACTCCCTCTAGGGTTTAGTGGGAAGCAGCTTTCTTACTTTCAATGTGTGCCACCACCTGGTGGTGCCTATGCAACTTCATGTATCTGGAGAGGGAGAGGGAGAAGTGTTATTCCACGTATCCCAGCACTAGAAACTCTCTGGGACATATTTGTCCCACTAATTGTGTCAAAATATTACCCAAAAAAATAAAGACAAAACTGTTTTTTCCCCAACAACAACAAACTTCTAATTACTGAAAACATAGGTTCAACAACAACGAAAGATATAAAGCAGAAGGCTTGAAAGAGTTAAACTTACCCCTCAGAGGTTACAAACTAGGAGCTTGCTCAGTGATTAAAAATATTCAGAATTCGTAAATTTGAGGTTTCCAGATTGTTTTATGTAGTTGGAATTGTGACCTCCTTGAGCTCTTAATTCTGAGGTTAATTTTAGGTGGTGGGCCCTTTTTGGGCTTGTGACTTCGTTTCCCATCCTGACCAGCCCTTCCACATGGGTATTTGGGTCATCTGCACCAGATGACGTGGAATCCTCTTTTCTTTTCCCAAAAGAAACTGAACCTCTCACATAGAGTCCTATCTTCTACCTGCTCTGAGCAGTCCTTGTGTGAAATTGACTATGTTGTTCTTGTTATGTGCTATCAAGTCAGCCGTGACTCATAACAACCCTATGTCCAACAGCTCTGAAGCCTGCCCTCTCCTGGGCCAGTCTCAATGACTCTGACATACCTACTCCCTTTGCCCCAGTTACTGTATCAATCCATCTTGTCTGGGGTCTTCCTTTCCTGCACTGTCCAGGCACCCTTGCAAGCATGATGTCCTTCTCCAAGGCCTTGTCCCTTGTGGTCACGTGCCCAACGTATGTGAGACAAGCTTCAAAATCCTAGCCTTCAAAGAGAAACTTGGTTTCACATGCTCGAAGATAGACCTGTTTGTTTTCTTGGCAGTCCATATTATGTTCAAGACTCTTCTTCAGCACTGCAGTTCAAAGGCATTGATTCTTGTGTCATCCTTAGCCATTGTCCATCTCTCACTCAGATGCATAGCAAGTAATTGTGAAGACCATGGCCTGGAGCAGGCACACTTTAGTCTCTAGACTGACATCATTGCTATTCAGTACTCTGCAGAGGTCCCTGATAGCAGATTTTCCTAGTGCTGTTAGTCTTTTGATTTGTGGAGCCAAGCAGATTACATTTCTAAATTATCTCTTGTCACATTCTATCATACCAATGATGTTTCTTGTGGCATATGTGAAATACTGAGTATAGATGACTTTATTTTTATAATTAACTGTAGAGACTGTCCTGCAAACCCCTTTTAAAAACAACTTTATCAAGATAGTTATTAAGCCGTACAATTTGCCTATTGAAATTCTTTTTTGTATAATCATGGAGTTGTGCAGCTAACGCCACAATTTAATTTTAAAATATTTTCAACTTCCTCTAAAAGCCTGAACCCATTAGCAGTCAGTCCCCTTCCTCCTCTTCCCCAAAGCTAAACAACTAATCTGTGGTCTGTGTCGATAAATTTATTTGTTGACATTTCACATAGATAGAGTTATTTAATATGTGGCCTTTATGACTAGCTTCTTTCACTAGGATTAATGTTTCAGGATTTAGTCACGTTGTATTTATTTTTCTTTGCTAAATAATTCTTCATTGTGTGAATATTGCATTCTGTTTACTTATTCATCAGGTGATGAACATTTGGGTTTGTTTCTACATTTTAGATATAATGAATAACGTATAGGGAAATAGGGAACTCTGTGAACATAGGGAGCTCTGGTGTCCTAGTGATAAGAAGCTGTGCTGTACTCCCAAAGGCATGTAGTTCGAATCCACCAGTTGCTCTCCTGTGCAATGTATTGCCTCTGAAAAGCCACTGGAGGGTCAGCTGTACGTCATTTCTGACTTGACAGCACACGGTAAAAACATCTGTGAAAATAATACTGTTTAACATTTCCTTCAGGCATTGTTTGATGATTCTAATTTTTCCACGTCTTTGCCAATGTCTGTTTAGTTATAACCATCCTAGTGTATGAAATAGTGTCTTACTCTGGTTTTGATTTTCATTTCCTTGGTAACTGATGAAGTTGAATATCTTTTCATCAGTCACTTGGTATCTTTTATTTAGAAAGATATTTCTATTAATTTCTTAAATTGGATTATCTGCCTTTTTATTGCTGGGTTGTAAGAGGGTTTTGTGAGAACCCCTGGTGGTGCAGTGATTGAGCATTTCAGTGCTCACTGAACATCAGTGGTTCAATGACCTATTGACTCTGTGGGAGAAAAGACTGGTTCATCTGCTCCTGGAAGGAGTTCAGCCCAGGAAACCCCCCGGGCATGTGGGGTGTCAGTTGGAAACTATTTGATGGCTCAGAGAGCAAGAGTTCTTTATATAATCTGAATAAAAGGTCACAATCAGAAACAGGGTTTGCAGATATTTCTGTTTTATAGGTTGTCTTCTCACTTTATTGATAGCATAAAAATTTTAAATTCTGATAAAGTCCAGTTTGTGTTTTCTTTTGTTCTTCCCCTTTTGATGTTCTAAGAAGGCTTTGATTAACCCAAGGTCATGAAGATTTGCCCATATACTTTCCTCTAAGTTTTGTAGTTTTCATTAAGTTTAATACTGTGCTCTGTGTCAACTTCCCCTTTTTAAAAACTTCGCTGTTAAACACTCCTATTGAACTCTAGTTACTTAATAGACTTCAATTCCCTCCATTCTACTTAAACAAAGCTTGGTATATACCAAACACTCAGTTAAAATGGAATGAATAAATGAAGCTGTCAACAAGTGAACAGACAAAATACCCTGCACTGCTCTTGGATCTGCTTCCCAGCTTTCAGCTGGGACTGTGCTCCTTCATTGTTCATATGCCATTTTGCATGTACATGAATATGTAAATAACACACAGTAGTTCTTAGTCATAAAAAAAAAAACAACAAACCCATGTAGAAGAAGTGAAATGATGACTTACAAGTATTTCTTTTCTCTTCTTTAGCCCTGATGACTTAGGGCATAACCTGTCAGTCTGCTGTGAGGTAGGCGGTTCAGACTCATCAGCTACTCTGAGGGGGACAGATGGGCAGTCTGTTCCTCTTAAGATTTACAGCCTCAGAAACAGGGTTGCTAAGAGTTGGAATTGACTTGTTGACAGTGAGTGAAATTGCAGCTTTTAATATATAGCTGAGTAATGAGACTTAAGATTTTCCTTATACAATTCTATGACATTGATTACATTCCTCAAATTGTGCTATCATTCTCAGAATTCTTTTCAAAATTATTTCACCATCATTATTTTAAACTCTCTGTCCCCTAAACTTCCCATCTAATTTTAATCCTTTAAAAGTCTACCATGCTCCAAGGAAACGTTGTTGTTGTTGTTATGTGCTGTCGAGTCGCCTACGACTCATAGTGACCCTATGTATAACAGCCCTAAACCCTGCTCTATCCTGTGCCAATCTTACTGTCTCTGACACACCTCAATCCATCTCATTGAGGGTCTTCCTTTTTTGCGCTGTCTCTCCACCCTCCCAAATATGATGTCCCTCTCCAAGGACTGGTCCTTCTTTGTAACATGTCTAAAGTATGTCAGACGAAGCTTCAGAATTTTTGCCAGGAGTAGCCTGGTTTCACCCTCTCCGGCATAGACCTGTTTGTTCACTTAGCAGTCCATGGTGTGTTCAATACTCTTTTCCAGCACCACAGCTCAAAGGCATCAATTCTCCTTCTATCATCTCTACTCATTGAGAAAACATACTTAACTAATTAAAGAAGCTGATTTTTTAGCTCAAAACCTTGAAATGTTGATAAAGTAGATCAATGGAATAAAATTGAGAACCCAGAGTTAAGAGCATGTATCTATGGTCAACTAATTTTTGACAAGAATGCTAAAACTATCAAGCAGCGTCTTTAATAAACAGTACTGGGATAACTGGTTTTCTACATCAAAAGAATAAAGAACGTACCTCCATATGTAAAACAACTCACAATAGATCATAGATTGAAATAGGAAAAACAAAATATATTTGCTTTTACAATCAGAGTATATGTAATAATGATAGTTTTCTTTATAAATCTTACTAAATAAAACTAACATAGCCCTAAAGTTAGATCTCTTAGTTTTATTTTTTTTTCAGGTAAACATTTTCTTATGATCAAGAAATAATAAGCAACTTGATAATACAAAATCAACACTGGCTCTTATACAGATATGCTATAAAGGCTACTTTATATCATTTAAAACTTGATTTTTAAAAACTGTTACATTGCTACATGCTGTCAAATTAATTTTTTTTAATTATTTTTTTTGTGTGTGTACCATCAAATTGGATCTGACTGGTACAGGAAGAGATTGTCCCGCCTTCTGCAGCAGAGCATCTGGTGAATTCTTACCACGTGCTTCTGGGATTGCAGTGCAGGTTCTTGCCACTAGGCCACCAGAGCTCCCTTGTCAAGTTGATTTTTGAGGCATAGAGGCCAAATGTGATTGAGCAGAACTGATGCCTCATAGATTGTTCTGGCCCCAAACCCATGCCATTCGGTGGTTCGACTCCACTGCTGGAGAAGGAAGAGCAATCTCCTCCGCAATTTACAGCCCTAGAAAGCCAGTGGCAGGTGATCTGTGAGCCAGTTTTGACTCCATGGCAGTAACTTTGACCTTAAATCTTCATGGCAGCAGATCACCTTTCTCCTTCAGAGCAGTTGTGTGTTTTTAAATGGTCAAGTATTTAAGTTGTTACTCCACCTAGCTGAACTAATTCATTGTTGTCAGGTCAAAACTGACTTCTAGCTGATCCTCCAGAAGCTTTTCAAAGACTGTTAATTGCATGGGAGGAGATTACCCATCTTTCTCCCACACAGCAGCTGATGGATTTAAACTGGTTAGCAGTGAAATTCCTTGCCCATTAAGCCACCAGAGTTCTGGCTTCCTTTGTATTATGTTAACCTATCGTAGGTAATCATTTTTCTTTCTTACCTACAGCTTCGAAATGGGAAGAATCCTTTAGACCTTATTGCTCCAGGTTCCAGGCTAGAATGCCAAGCTTTTCAAGACTCTTTAAGCACTTGGATTGTTACTGTAGTAGAGAACATTGGGGGAAGACTGAAGCTGCAGTATGAAGGACTTGAAAGTTCTGACAGTTTTGAACATTGGTTGTATTACCTGGATCCCTTTCTTCATCACGTTGGTTGGGCCACTCAACAGGGATATGAACTCCAGCCCCCATCAGGTAAAGAGTAATATACCATTTTTCTTTTCATTATTATATTATTGTCATTCATATCTGTGAGGCTGGAAAGTACATTATTCTGAATAGTATGAAAACCTTTGTTCACATAATTGAGGTGTAAAAAAAAATTATGCGGAGTTTTAAAGTGCCTATTTTTCTTCTGATTTTATTGCTTTTGTAATTTACCACACATACTGATAAACTTCACAGATTTCTGTCCGTACCCGTACTGACCCCCTTGATAAAATTAAAGGAAAATTTTCTTGTCAGTAGTCAGATTAGTGTAGTGGTAGAATAGATTGTGGGTTCACAGCAGATTATTTATGGGAAGAAATTCTCAAAATGTTGTAACTCGGGTTATTTTAAAAATCCATTTGCATTTGTGATTATGCACCCCATTTGAGAATACATGTTTGTTGTTTTATGGACTACAGTAACCCTGATGATCTTAATGCAAGGCCCAGGGCTCCAGCCAGAGCCAACTGAGTACTGAGGTTAAGGTGCAAATCCTTTGAGTGAAGTTAGGTATAAGTGAACTTGAACTCTCCATTTTCAGTGTTTATGGATGCTCTCAGAGCAGTTAAGAAGTATGCAGGTTTTCTTATAATCTAAAGCATCTTGTCTTGTTTTGCTAAAGCCATCAGACATCTAAAAAATGAAGCTGAGTGGCAAGAGATTTTGGCCAAAGTGAAAGAGGAGGAAGAGCCGTTACCATCTTACTTATTTAAGGTAAGAACAGAAACTTTGTGATGTTGTTGTTGTTAGGTGCTGTAGAGTCAAGTACGAGGCATAGCGACCCTATCTATGAAAAAAAGATCTGAACCCTGTTCTATCCTGTGCCATCCTCACATTTCCTGACAAATTAGAGCCCATTGCAGCAGTCACTGTGTCAGTCCACCTGGTCAAGGGTCTTGCTCTCTTTCGCTGACCCTCTACCCATCCTAGCATCATACCCTTCTCCAAGGAATAGCTCCTCCTAGCAACATGCCTGAAGTATGTGGCTGCACCAGAGTTAATGAGCTAAAAACAGCCTGCCTTCCACAATCCAACTGCTTTGAATGAGGCTGAAACTTGGTGAAAGGTAGGTATTATCTCTTCACAGGAGAGTAAGGCAACTGGGGGAGAAGAGAATTAGCAGGCATTCCCGGGGGTCATGAGAGCTCTGTGTCCCCTCAGGGAGGGAGGAGGCCCCGAAGCTGGAGAGATGATCTTTTCCCTCCCTTTTCTAACAGTAGTGTTTTATTTCTTCGACCGTTTCCTTAAAGCATTTTAAGCCTTTTTCTTAACTGTTGTTGTTGTTTAGTGCCGTCAAGTTGTAGACGACTCATAGCGCCCCTATGAACGAACAGCCTGAGTACTGTTCGTACATAGAGTTTCTGGAGGTAAGCCATTTCGGAAGTGGATGCCACTCCTGCTTCCAGGCTTGTTTTAGTCGGGAAGCTCCAGCCAACACTATCCACCATGGGTACCCATTACCACGATTGGCACATCACTGTCACAGTCTTCAGCATCACAGCAACCACGAGTTACCTCTGTACAGCAATGCACAGACCAGTGCTATACCACCTAGAAGAATGTTTGACAGGAAAACAATTTGAACCTGGCCGAGGGCCGCAGATGAAAATCACCCACCTTCGGCTTGGTAGCATAACTTCCTTTCCACTAGGCCAACGTAGCTCTCTCTTTGTTTCTTAACTACATAGCCTAAATTGTTATAAAAGAAATTTATTGCTTCCTCCTCATCTCCCTTGTGTTCAAACTGTAGAGTGTAGGAGTTCTTTCGCAGACTTTTGTCTGTGGGTTGAGGTTTTTTTTCCCTCTCCTGAATAGTTTTTTCCAGGGATTGGATTCTTGAATATATATGTATATAGTTAATAGGAAAATACTATCTTTTCATTCCTAATAGGAAAATACTATTCTTTTCATTCCATCATGCTTGCATTTCAGGACAAACAAGTGATTGGCACCCATACTTTCTCTGTAAATATGAAATTGGAAGCTGTGGACCCCTGCTCTCCTTTTGGGATCTCACCTGCTACAGTTACTAAGGTAAAACTGATGCTTGAGCACCAGAGGAATAAGGGCATGTTTTGGAGGACAAGCTTAGATGTAACTAACCAGAGGAGATTTAACCAGCAGGTAGCCCATAATATCTGAAAAACATGGCAGCTGGCAGAGCTATCAGTACCCAACCAGATGCAAGGCTGAGGTAGGAGACATGTGCGATCATGGAGGAGCGGGCATTAAATTTCAGGGGTCTGGTAGTAGGACAACTCCAGCTATAAAGTCTAGACTCATCCTTCTGTACTGTAGTAGACTGAGAACAGTAAGGTTGGGTTTCTAGTCAATACATACCAAAAGAACAGAGCAGGCTGTCATGTTACTGGAACTGAGGCAGGCACACAGGAGAGAAGTTCAGGGTTAGAGCAGAAACCCATTCACTTGAGTGTAAATCTGAAAGTCAAGGGCACTAAGGGGAATCATTGCCTGGATATTATCAGGCCTATTAGAAGACTATTCGCAGAGCAAGGAGGAATGCTGAACTCTCAAATGGGGTCACAAGGCCCGTGTGGAGAGTGAAGGGATGTGGGATGTGAAGATCCTGAAGGAGTTCCTTGTAGTCCTCTTTTTGGCCTCACAGTTGGACTGGGATATGAAGAAACCAATGCACTGGCATAGCCAACTCCTTACCAAGCTCAAACTAAATTTTCATATTTGAGTTCAGGTTCTGTTTTATCCTGAATGTATAACCTTGGGCAAACTATTTTAACCTCTCATTTAAACTAAGTTTAATTATTTGCAAAATAAGGTTGAAAATGGCATCTGCCTTATTAGATTGTTAGGAAAGGAAACCGATTCCGCTTTTAAGATTATAATTAAAATAGTACATAGAAAGCATTTAATTAACACAGTGCCTGACACAGAGCTAACATTCATTGAGTGCTAGTATTATTACTTACTGTGTTATAATATTGATTGGTGATTTGAACCCGCAAGACACTCTGTGAAGAAATATGTGGCAGTCTGCTTCAGTTAAGATTTACAGCCTTATTGATACTTACCTGGCAGGGGAGAGACCATGATTATGAAGGTGGTTTTCCGAGGGCAAGGCTTATCCGTTGTACTCCGGATGGGCTAACCCCTGTGATTTCCCTAAATGGGGGAAACTCCACTGTGGAGTAAATTAAAAAATAAGAAGATTTATAGCCGTAGAGACTCTGTGGAGCAGCTCTGTTTTGCCTTACAGGCTGCTGGGAGCTGGAACTAACTTGAGAGTGATGGTTTTGGTTGGTAGCCACAAACTTCCGTGACATTCTTGGCCAAGGAAAAGACATTAATACCACATGCAAACAGGCATTTGTCTGTTTCACCTGTTAAATTGCATGCACAGGTTTTTGATGAGAAGTACTTTCTGGTGGAAATGGATGATCTGCGACCAGAGAACCACGCACGGCGTTCTTTTGTGTGCCACGCCGACAGTCCTGGGATTTTCCCGGTACAGTGGAGTTTGAAGAATGGTTTGCACATCAGCCCCCCTCCAGGTGTGTATCTCGTTCATGTCTGAGTTATTCATCCAAAAAGACTGTTTTGGTGGTGTGTTGTTGGGGTTTTTTTAAATGACACCAGATAGAATTATGTAGCTCTTTGGTCTGCTTTCTCTTCATGCCTTAGCCTACTGCTAGTATTTATGGTTCAGGAGAAGTGTAAATTAAGACTCAGATACCATATATTTACCGTGTGTGATAGGTATAAATCAGCCCAAGACACTGTTAAATAAAGTATGTTCAAATCTCCTACCTTAACAAATACATCTTCATAAAACCAGCCTCAAGCCTGGAGCTCAGTGCTGGCTCTTTAGTTTTCCCACCTGTGCCTGTGAGGAGATCATAGGTGGTTGGGGCAGTACTCACAGAGACTGCTGGGAGCCAGCTCAGGAGGACAGGCTTGGGGCCAGAGCTGGGAGGCAAAGACTTGGTACATTTTTAGGTTACTGGACCTCATCATAGAAGGAGACACTTTGCACTTAAGTGGAAGATTTATGGGCATCTAGGCACCCCTGATGAGGGTGTATGGATGTAGCATTAGCCCCTTCCCCCCATCCCAGAGCCTTCTGCCTGCTGTGTGGCATCCCAAGGCCCCATCAGGATATGCCAGTGCCACCAAATTGTGTGTCCGTGGAACCTGTCATTGCTGCATGTGACCGTCTTGCATTCTGTTTGTCTTGTGGAGGGAGGTGGCAGTCCCAGGGGAAAGTGTCTTGTCTCCATTTGGGTAAAAGGAACCAGCCACCCACCAGTTGCTGTCACTGGACTCTCCCATCACTTCTGCAAACCACGTTGTATGACCTAGTAAACTTTGTACCAACATGGGGGGCAGGAAAGATTTATGGGCATGAGTGGGATTCAGAGAGACTTCAAGTGGGAAAGCAGTGGCTCCATTTCCTAGTGTTTGCAATGTATCAGAGCTCTTAAATAGAACTTAATTGAGCTTCCCTCAAATTTTCTTTTTTTTTTTTTTAACTTAAAAATACCCGAAAACCCTACTTTAAAGTGTCAGATGTTTCTCTGGCTTTCATTTCAGCTAATCAGATATTGATGGACCTTCTCTGTGTACTTTATTATGATTCATTTAGTAAAATACGACTTTATTTTATAAATGTTTCCTGCTGGAACTCTGCTGGATGTGCTTGTTTCTGTCAACAGGGGTCATAAAACCTGCCTTCTGTGTAGCCATCATCCACCCAATAAACATTCATTGAGTGTTTGCTATGAATCAGGCATGGGACTGAGGAGGTAAAACTGAGTATGACATAGTGTCTTCCTTGAAGGTGTGTAGGGAAAAACAGTGGCAGAATTTCCCAGGCATCTCTTCGAGTTAATACAGTGTGGAAGTAGGGTGAAGGTGAGCAGTGCAGTAACAGCCACAGGAGAAGGTCTCCCTCTGCAGAAGGGCCCTACATCCATCCCACTTCTTTTCTTATCTAACGCCTTTGTGTGAAAAGGAAACGTGATTATGAAAGGTGTTCAGAGATGTAGCATTATAATGGACAATTGACTAGATGAAGGGAAGGTAGTGAATTATGTACTTGAAATGTAGTTTACTGTCAGGAATTGAGGTGAGGGCAGAGAGGTAATATGGTACTAGCTTGAGCTAGTCAGAGAACATGATTTCCAGGTTCTTTGGCTGTAGGATGTCAAAGTCCTAAGGGGTCCACTCTGTGTTTGAGGTCTGCAGGATCAGAGAGCTGCTTAGACACCTGGAGAGCTGGCCCAACTTCTCGCACACGATGGTGCTGAGTTAGGGGCTCGAGAACCTTGTACGCTTAAGCGAGTAGTCAGACTCTTTTTCTGAAATAAACTCATGATTTAGATTTTGAGAACACTGAGCTTCTGTAGAATATGAATCTGAAAACAAAATAAACAGCCTTTCATCTGAGAGGATTGTATTAACTGAGACACCAAAGGAAATTTTTTTTTTATCAGAGAGAAATACTGCTTGCTGATTAAATTGTACTGTAGATTTACTGCTGCTTTTCTTTCAGAGTCTAAGTCATAATAGAATGGATCATAAGATGGAATTTATAGACTACAAATCAAATCCAATTGTAATATATAAAGTTCTTTTTGTAAATTGTCAGAAACTAACCATGTAAAAAACATTGCACAAAATAGATGCTTTGAAACTTGAAAGTTTTGAAATTTATCTGTAGAATTTTATTGTGTTATTATAGTTTAGCCGGCATTGCTGCTTTTAAAAAATTAACAAAATGTTGGGTTCATAAAGTACCTTTCTGCCTCTAAGGAGTTCTGGTGGTGCAGTGGTTAAGTGTTGAGCTGCTAGCCAAAAGGTCTACAGTGCCAGCCCACCAGGTGCCATAGAGGGAGAAAAACCTAGCATCTGCTTCTGAAAAGATTATAGCGTAGGAAACTCCTGGGCTTTGATAGGGTCCTGGGGGGTTGGAATTAACCTGATGGCACGAGGGCAGAATGATAACCTGCAGAATGATCAGAAACCCCAGATGAGCAAAATCGGAAGTGGCGGATGCACACTCAGCTGAGTGGTAAAGCAACATAGGCCTGTGCAGGGGGCACTCACTGTTCTTTTTGTCTCCGCTAGGCTACCCGAGCCAGGACTTTGATTGGGCCGACTACCTCAAACAGTGTGGTGCTGAAGCTGCCCCCCAGAGGTGCTTCCCTTTGGTGAGAAACCCCATCCCCTCCCAGCCACTGCCAGGGCTGCTGGTGTCCACTGTCATTGCAGGGAAGTTAGTCATCACATCCAACCCAAGTTAGAACCTCACTGGCTGTAGCAGAAATGGCTTATGGAAAAAACTCACTTACTATAAAAATTAATTGGTTTTAAAATTTTCTTATTATTTGACATTTTAGTTCAGCTTATTGATGGTTCAATAATGTGGAAATAGTAAGTGGACAGAAATTGTTAAACCTATTTAAAAATGCATTTATCCAAATGGTGTATGCATGTAGCATCAGGGAAATGAGACTCACTAGTAACCTGAGTTATGCAGATGATACAAACTTGCTTGCTGAAATTGTGGAGGACTTGAAGCAATTGTTGCCGAAGATCAAGGAATGCAGCACCCTTTGATATGAATTGCATCTCAATGTCAAGAAAACAAGGATTCTCAACCACTGGACCAATAGACAACATCATGGATGAAGAGGAGATTGAAACTGTCAGGAGCTTCATCTTGCTTGGATCCACAATTAATACCCTTGGTACCAGCATTCAGGAAATAAGGAGATACATTGTACTGGGAAAATCTGTAGTTAGGGACCTCTCCAAATTTATTGAGGAGTAATGATGGCTGTTTGAAGACTAAGGTGCCTCTGATTCAGGCCATAGTCTTTATGATTACTTACTTTGCTTCTGAGAACTGGACAATGAAGAATGATGACAGAAAAAGAATTGACACTTTTGGATTGTGGTGTTGGAGAAGAGCTCTGAACATCCCATGGACAGTCAAAGGAGCTAAGGGACAGCCAAGATGTCTCTTGGAGAGGGTGAAGCCAGAGTGCTCTTTGGAGGCAAGAATGATTAGGCTTTGCCTCACATACTTTGGGCACATTGCTAGGAGGGCTTATTACTTGGAGAACAGTATGATGCTGGAAAAGATGAAGGGTCGGTGAAGGAGAGGAAGACCCTTGGCCAGGTGGATTGATATGGTGACTGCCAAAATGGGTCTTGTGTGTCAGGGAGTGTGAGGGGGTGACACAGGACAGAAGAGGATTCAGATTATTTGTTCATAGGGTCGCTGTGAGTCATACTTGACTTACTGGCACCTATCAATAATATTAGTTGACTAGTACCTGTTGCTGTCAGCTCTTAGCTTTCCTCACTGCCACCTCAGGTTCCCCTTTTGTTTTTTTCACATTAGTTTACTAACACTTGACATTTTAGCTTATAAATGCTGTTTGCTTTTATGATATCCATTAGGTGGGTTTATGTCCTTATAAAAATAGCAATGATAACCAATAACCTGGGTTGTCAGAAGAACGTATAATCAAATACAGATGTCCAGTTCTCCATATTAACCCAGAAACTGCCAAATTTGTTTTAAAGATTCCTTTTCTGATGTCTTAAAGGTTATTTTTCCTAAATGCCTTTTGTGATAGACACATAAGTTGACACTAGACATGTTATTGTAGGCTAAGACCCTTTAGGGCGGGGATTGAACTAACAGTGTTTAAAGGCCTTAGGTACCTTATTCCATTTGATCATAGCAACAGCCGAGTGAGCAAGGTGTTTTTCGCATCATTGAACAGATGACAAAACCACGGCTAAGAGAGGCTCTACAGTTTGTCCACAGTTAATAGCAGACAGGGATGCAAGAACCTCAAAGACCACATACTGCCTCTAACACCAGAGGAGACAGATATATTTTTCCTTGGTTTCATTAAGAAAGAAAATAAAATTACAGCTTTGAAGTGTGAATATATGGATTAAATAGTATTTGAAAAAGGTCTCTTGGCTGAGCACATAATTTAATTCTGAATGTGTATCTGATCCAATTCACTTCTCTTCTAGTCAATTTCCGAACATGAATTTAAAGAGAGCATGAAGCTCGAGGCAGTGAACCCTCTTCTCCGGGAAGAAGTGTGCATTGCTACTATCACTGCAGTGAGAGGTTCCTACCTGTGGCTCCAGCTGGAAGGTTAGCACCCAAACACTGCCACATGTCTTCCCGTGACCACTCGATGTTGCCTTTCCTGTTTACTCCTGCACCATGGGATGTTACAGGACATTAGCTAAATTGGGGTCTTTCTCAGAGTCCTTTAATTTGTAATGCAAGGTTCTAAGCTAACAATTTTGCTTCCTTTCCTGGATTTCCAAATTGTAGGTAGGAATTAATTGTGAATAAAAAAAAATCTTCTACTTCTCCTATTTTCTTGATAGGGGAAAGTATAAGTTAAATGCTTATTCTTTGATGTTACCAGAATACATGTGCATGAGCAAGAATATATCTCATGTGCTCAAGAGGGAGTAAGCCGCAGAATCAAAAAGCATATAAAGTAGACGAGGTATTGATGGTCTGTGACTAGGGCAGGTCTGGCAGCAGACGCCCCTCTGAAGTCCTCAGCACCATGGGGACTGTGCACTGCAGCCTGGCTTGCTTTTTGCTTTTGCTGCCAAATAGGCAGACTCTGAGAAGGCAGCTACTGTTTCTGATTGTGGAATCGGTATTTAATGCAGATGTCAAGGGCTGTATTGAAGGTACCCTTTCATGTAGCCCCCTGCTGAGCAACTTGCATGCATCACTTCCCAATTTGAATTCACTGGTCTGCCTTCTGGCTTCTTCCCCAGCACCAGAACTAACACTCTAATCAGGGAGAACTACCTCTCTGCTTTTGGCTTCTAGTTATCTCAAGGCATTGACTGATATTTGTTGACTGTCTGAATGATACCAGTTCTAATATTTTTTGCTGTTCTCTGACTAATTTAGGTCCTTAATGTCAGTATATTTGGGGAACAGTTTACTGCTGTTACCTTCACATTTGTCACACATAAAAAAAAAGGCTTCTCAATAAAAGGAAACTACTCAACAGACTTTGTGTCTTATTCCAACAGAAGTCATTTATTTGATGGTCTAATAAATGTTTAATATATGTATATACATATATACGCAGATAAACATTTACTTTTATTTATTTTAAATCCACACAGGTTCCAAGAAGCCTATTCCTGAATATATTGTGAGTGTGGAATCCATGGATATATTTCCTTTGGGCTGGTGTGAAACCAATGGCCACCCTCTCAGTGCCCCTCGCCGAGCACTAGGTACGAGGTATCCATCTTTTCTGCAGTGAGAGTTGATTGTTAGATAATTTTGTTTTGTGACTGCGACCAGTTGGGGTGAATCCAGACACTTCAGGAAAAGCAAAATGACTTCTGGTTAGCTAGCTACCCATGCATAGGAAGATAATCACTGTACACATCAAGCATTTATTAAAGTTTCTGTGAGTCAGAAATCTGAGTACAGCTAGCTGAGTCTTTTGGATCCAGTCGCTGGCACAGTGCAGTCAAGGTGTCAAGCAAAGGAGCCGACTCCTGGCCCCTGAGGAGGCTCTGACCCCCTTACTCCCATGGCAGTTGGCAGGAGTTAAGTTGATGAGTTCAGAAGGGTCTCAGCTTCTCCCTGGGGCTCCTCACAGCATGAAAGCTGTTCTCTTTTCAAGAGACAGGTAGATATTAAAAAAGGTGGAACCTTTAAATATGTAAGCTTAGAAAAAGGAACACTGTGGCTCTGGCAAGAAGCTATGCCGCAATCCTGAAAGCACACAGTTCAAATCCACCAGCTGCTCCATGGGGGAAGGATGGGCAATCTCCTGTTTGAGTGACTGCCTCTGAAAACCCGCTAGAGGGTCAGCTATGGGTTGGTTCTGACTCGACGGTACACAACACCACCACCACTACCACCAGTCTTGGAAATTACATCCCATTTTATACTCCCCCTCCCTTTTTAACCACTTTTTTTGTGTGTGATATAATTTACATACTGTGATGTCTACTCTTCGAAAGTATACAATTCAGTGTTTTGGATTTTTTTTTAAAAAAGTTTATGTACAATTTGTCAACATCACCACTATGTAATTTTAAAACCTTTTACCATTCAGAAAGAAATCTCACATTCATTATTAATCACCACCTTGTGCATCCTCCCTAGACAACCAGTCGTCTACTTTCTGTCTCCTTTTTGTTGTTGTTATGTGCTAACCAGCTCATAGCAGATCCTCCAGTAGGTTTTCAGAGGCTGTAAATTGCATGAGAGCAGGCTTCCCATCTTCCTTCTGAGCATCAGAAGGTAGATTCAAACCACCTGCCTTTGGTTGGCAACACAGCTCCTTGCCCACTAGGCCACCAGTCCTCCTTTTCTGTCTCTTCACACTTGCCTTTTCTGCACACTCATGTAAATACATGTGCATTCTTTTGTGACTGGCTTCTTTCCACTTAGGGGGATATTTCAAGGTTCACCTATGCTGCATCATGTATTAGAACGTCATTCAGACTTTGTTGGTTAGGAATTTGGATCAGGCTCAGCTGGGAAGTTCTCAGAAGGTATTTCCATGTAGTCCCTTTCCAGTGCCAGCTGGGACTGCAATAAGCATCTGCTACTGACATCAAATGCATGTTATCCTCCGCTTCCTTTAAAGAAAAACACAGGAAACCTTCTAGGCCCTATGAATCCTGTGCTAGTTTTTCTTTTGTATACTTATTTCTGCTTAGAAAATATTCATTGCAGTTGACCAAACCAGGGAGCATTGGAAATATTAGTTTTGCTCATTGTATAAAGACTAAATACCCAGAAGATGCACATAGTATAGATAATCAGACACAGACCACTAATTTACAGTTGTTGTTGATTGCCTTCACGTCAAGCACGAATTATAGCAACCCCATGAACAAAAGGCCTTAAATCTTTATGTAACTATCCACATTTATCAAAGTTCATAGAGTTTCTGGAGGCATGTTGTTTAGGAAGTGGATGCCACTCCTGCTAGTTCCTCCATATATGTGGAGTCCTGAGTGGTGCATACAGTTCAGTGCTTGACTCAGCTGAAAGGTTTGTGGTGTGAACCAACCTGGAGGCACCTTGGAAGAAAAGCCTCATGATCTGCTTCTGAAAGGTTAAAGCTTGGAGAACCCTCTGGAGCAGTTAGACTTGCATGTAAGGAGTGTCTTCAGCTGGAAGAGATTCAAAAGCAACTGACAAAATTGAAATATATACAGAATGGGGATTTAAATGTCCTGATGTAAGCTTCAGCCATGTATAACTTTTCCTGTATATTTCCATTTTTCTTAGCATGTATATTTGTTTTCTTCTTACAGTGTGTAAGCAGAGAAAAATTGCAGTAGTTCAACCAGAAAAACAGTAAGTAATGTATTATTAGGTTTGACATTAGAATATCTTCAAAAAAGAAAGAATTGTTTTAAAGATTATATTTCCTTAACTGGTATTTGCTCAGATGGAAGCATACTTCTTTAATTCTAGTTATGATACTTTTTACACTTCCCCTTACAGTATCTACACATTCTAAAATGACATTATATTCAAAAGGCATTCTTAAAATGGTCTGCAGATTGTTTCCTTTTCCTTTTAGAACCTGAAGGATTTTGACTAAGAGAGAAAAGATAAAAGTATCTCTATGCTGTTATTTTTTTAAGACTGAGCGAAAATTGTAAATCAGAATTTGATTTGTCACAGTGAAAAACTTGAGGTATAAAATAACCACATAGCCTTGAGAAGCAGTTAAACAGAGCCTTGTTGTTGTTGTTGTTATGTGCTGTCGAGTCGCCTGCGACTCATAGCGACCCTATGTACACCAGCCCTAAACTCCGCTCTGTCCTGTGCCAATCGCACTGTCTCTGACACTCCCATCCCAATTATCCCAGTCACTGAATCAATC